TGTAACGATTGAACAGGAGGCCTGAGCGTTGTGGAGAATAGAAAAATTATAGGGAACAGAATATCAGTCGTGCAGTTGACAAAAATACAAGGATATAAGAGACCTTGCAATATCTAGACTTAATAAAAAAATTACAAGCATGATGAAGAAACTGGTTACAACTTGTCAGTAGAAGCGATGAAGAGTGAATACTTTACGATCTACTACATTATGGCGTCACAAAAAAAAAGACAATCACTGGACATCCGACCGGGAGGTGGAAGGATCAATTAAAATAATATGAATTTCGAGAAAAATCGAATTATACGTCTAAGACATGACGATATTTAAAGAACTTATTAAAGGAATATTGTAGAAACGTCAATGCAAATATATCACAATATAATTAATAAAGTAATTTATTATGAAGAAATAACGATTTTGGCATTATTGCAACTGAACTAGCTGATTTTAGATTTTTTCAAAATGCGCAAGTGAAAAAAAAAATTGTAATGGAATTTTAATATTTCTTTAAAAATATAAGTGTATCTTATGCTCTTCACAGACGCTTAGGGAAAATGGAGCCCTGGGTGAACAAAATTCATTGCACTCCGTCGTTTCATAGAAGCCGAGTAATTTGTTAGGCAGCTAGGCGACTATCACCGTCTCAAGAAAGACTCTACTCCTTAAAGTTAGTGTGTCACTTTCGTTGTGTTGAGGCTATGCAATGCAGATTGAAGTGTGGGTTGTGACAGCGGGGGTTACAAAGTGGCGAGCAACACTTAGCACATGGACAAGGTAAGTAAAAGTAAAGTAAAGTTTGTCCCACTACACGCCATGTAGGCGTTTGGGGTGAGTGGAGGTATGGCTCCTCTCTTCCTTGACCTCGGCACTAGATGGAGGTGAGTGGTCAGCGTCACGCCCCGGCCGGCTTTACCCCCGGGAAAGGACCCCGGTACCCATTGTAGAGGAGGCTGGGTGGGCCCCAGAGCCGGTCTGGACGCAGAGGCTAGAGGAAAAATCCTCTGCACCCGTCGGGGATCGAACCCCGGTCGTCCAACCCGTAGCTAGTCAATATACTGACTGAGCTATCCCGGCTCATACATGGACAAGGTAATATATCAAAGTAAGGGACGAAAATTTCGTTTATGTACCTAAAACTATTTTATTGCCATATATGGTTTAAATGTTTTATGTCCTTTCATTTCTATCTCATAAACGCAATATGACAATCATTTTAATTCATATTGTATTCAAACCCAAATGAAACGGAACATTACGTACTGTTCCCGAGGGAAAGAAACACTGAAAGGCAGTGCAGTGTTTTATTTAATAATCGTCAATGGAAAATGAAAGCAGCAGTTTAAATTAAAACAACTTCCAAAAATCTTTTTTTTGCTTCGTGGCCTTGTAAACAATTTAAAACAATAAACCTGACCATCTACAAAATAACATGAATTTGAACTCACACTTTTTTTTCTTTAACTGTGACGAATTTAGTAGAATTTGAGGTATCCGCAGCGCTACAAACCAAAAGACAGCCATCTTCTTATCACGAATTTGACTCTGTCCTATTTCGATTCAGAACGCTTTTCAAAACATCGAATTGTGGCAGTTCGCGGTACATACCGGACGGGAAGTTGGCGGACTGATAGGCCTTTGCCTACACACGACAATAAACTACAAAAAAATAAGGGTGTAATTTACATCCATGTCCCGACCTGCGTCAAAACCCTAAATCTCAATGTTGGAGCGCTGAATGATAATATATGATAAAAAATCTGAAAAAATAAGTAACGTGACGAAAGAAATGTATTCAAGTTAATGTATTTAATAAAAAGGGAAATGTTAGAACGAGGAAAAGTAAAAGAAGACAAAAAAATTTAAAGATGAATGCGTGTACAAGGTGGGCTATAGTCTTCCTCTGCTTGAGTCCTCGGAGGTCACCTTCCGCTGCACTTACCTGGCTGTATGTTTCCGCGTGGTTTAGCTCCTAGGATCGCCAGGTTCACGTTTGCTTTTCGGCCATCAATGATTGGGTTTGGTTCCTTACACGCCCTCTCAGCCGCGGGACGATCTGCCATTATCACCTGCACACAAACCAATATAAATCAGAACAATATATTAATTAAATCTTTCGGCAGTACAGAACATAATCCATGTTCAAGGTTACAGTTTATTTGGTGTATAATAAACCGAGAGGATGAATAAGTAGAGTTAATTGCGCTAGGAATTTGTCGTGGCCTACTTCGAGAAATTTTCCCATAATACGTATGAAATGATAGAAATCACAACAACAAATTAAAGAACATTGGTGGCGCAGCCGAATTTCGAAGAATATAATCTGAAACGTTAGTGCTGAACTAACCTGCTCAGTTATAGTCCCGGTTATGTGGTTCTTGGTCACAACTGCTTAACGCGGCCTCAGGTTACGGGTGGTGTAGATGGCTTCCAGATATGGATAATGGCAACGAACATAATGATTAATGGTGATGATAATCATTTAATAACGATACACTGAGCAAACCTTCACATAGTGCAATCGGAAGGGACGTGAACAAGTCTAAATTGCAGATATATTTCCGTCTAACAAGATACTACCAAATAAAAAATGTTACACAGTACATGCCCCATGCATCTACGTAGGTATATGTAATTATGATCCATATCAGAAATCTGAAATTCATTTAGATAGATATGTAGGATCTATACCAGGCTTTAATAATCAGAACATAATTTTCAGTTTTCTCTCTTCATTTTGCTGATTTTGACGGTAAGGTTCTTTCTCACATAAACCCAGAATCAAAATCAGGGCTATGGAGTCGGAGTCAGAGTCGGAAGCAATTTTAGGTGGAGTCGGTAAAAATGTACCGACTCCGACCTCGATATAAAATCTTATGAACAATTTCTATACCGTGTTAGCCGCCGGTGGCCTCACGCTTAGAGAGATTTAACGACGCGTTGAGTCACATGGTGTGGGAATAATGCTTTGTAACTTTGGCTCCGGTACCTTAAGAATACAAACTGCCTACAAATCAACCGATTTCTGCAATAAGCATTAGACGTATATATTTAAATATAGGTTATAAGTCTAAAAAGTAGGCTGATGATTCACGTGGTGGTGATGAAATCTCTTATGGTGCCATATACCATTTTAGTAGGTTTACCCTTATTAATACATATTGAGCTTTTATGAATGAGTCGGAGTCGGAGTCGGAGATTTTAGTACCGACTCCACAGCCCTGATCAAAATTACATGACCATAAAACGGTTAATGATATTTCTCGTTACATTTCTTAATTTACGTTTCCGTCCCACATAGCTGAGTTAATTAAACTTGTAATGCCGGATGGTAATTATATGTACCATATGTTTGAACGCTGAGTAACTATTGGATTTTGTCTGCAGATCGTAATTAAAGATTCCATATGATTCTCAGAGTAAACATCAATTAATTTCTTAAAAAAGCATTAAGCAACCGATATTTGTAATGGTGAAGTGTTATTTTCTTTGCGGTACGGCCTGAATATTTCAATATCGTTTAGACGAGTTTCGGAACAAAGGGTTGATGAAACTTTTCTTTGATAATTACTACTTTTACTCGTTAACCTAGAAACTTTTACAGCTTTGTTAACACGTCCTACACAGAAACACAGCTACATTGAATCTGGACTGATGATTTGTCGTCGCCCTGTGTCGCTCCACGCAGTAGCGAGTTTATACTGAAAATAAACGCCTTCACTTTTTCTCCAGCTTGAAAACTTTAAACAATGCTAGCCGCTCCACGCAGTAGCGGCATATAGGTACACCATGATGAAGCAGATTATTTCAATAATCAGCCTTTCTTGAGAAGTTAACCGGTCAGTTCCAATTCCCCCCCCCCCCCTTTTTTTTTTA